TGTTCGGGAATGTTATTTTCCGCATGGTATTCGCCCGTCCACTCCCAGAGGACCAGAGATTTGGGGGAGAGGGCGATTCCTTAGCTGGGTTAGCTTTCAGCTTAATGGAGCGAGACGCACGGGTCCTGCGGCATACAGGGGTCTTGATGGAGGAGGCCACGCCTTACTAGACCCTCCAGAAAAACGCGGGCAAAAATCCTTGATTATGCGGGCTAAAATCCTTGATTATGCGATCAAACTTGCAGGGTTTTATGTGATTTTATGCGGTGAAATTGCGGGAAGTTGCGAAATATGCGGCAAAAATAAATATTGGGCTGTCTTATTTATTTATTCTCTCACTCACAACCTGCCACTAACGTTAAACCCCTTTACTATTCAATTAAACACATTCAATGTTTATTTATTGTAAAAGCAATTGGGCTATTTTAATCACACTATCTCTCTCACACACACACACACACACACACACACACTTCTCCGCCTCATTCTGTTTTCATTTACTTGTTCGTTTTCTGACCAGCTTCAATCTTGTAGGCTTCTCACTTCGTTTCTTGTAGCCCTTGAAAGGGTTTTGGAGGTTGATGCCTCGGTGAACGTGAGTTGTTTGGCTTTCTTGTCCGCAGCAGCAGAAAGCATTTTCGAATGTTTGAATGAATCAAAGTGGGTCGTCACCGTCGATGTTCTCTTATGCTCCAACACACAGTTGCACGGGGTGCAGAATAGTTTCCCCCCACTTTCGTGCAAGATATCGGGGTACTGCTTTGCCCGGTCTTTAGCAGAAATGTTCGTCGGTAAATGAGATGGATTACATTTTTTCATCTTGGTGTTTTCTCTCTCGTGTGAGCTCCACACGTTCACTCTACGGTGTTGTTTACCTTCTGTGATGCGCGAGCTGATGACGTCGCGTCATCATCATCACTTCACGTCAAGACGAGTTAACTTTTTTTTCTTCTCAACTTTGTGTGGAAAAATGCGGGGATTATGCGGCCTTTTGATAAATATGCGGCCTTTTAAAAATTGATGGATTTTATTTTGCATTGAAACGGTCCCTGTATTGTACAACATTTTACAATTCAGGGACCTTTTCAATACAAAATAAAGTCCTCCAATTGGACATGCTAAAACAATCGTCCGGACGTTTAAAACACTTGGCGGGCCCCTGCCAGACGAAGGGATGCTTGACCCGGAGGTGGTGAAGCAGATCTGGGCCCAGTTCGGGAAAACGGAGGTGGACCTGTTTGCCAACCAGCGCAACAGCCACTGTACCCTATGGTTTTCCCTGGCTCGGCAGGACAATCCACCCTTGGGGGTGGACTCGTTTGCACACGAGTCATGGCCAAGAAAGCTGCTCTACGCCTTTCCACCGCTGTGTCTCATTCTCCCCCTCCTGGAGAGGGTGAGACGAGAACGATTGTCAGTCATCCTGGTAGCCCCAGGTCGCCGCTCTGCGCCGTGGTATCAGGAGGTGACACAGTTGATGGTGGGCCAGCCCTGGACGGTTCCTCAGGTCTGGGGGGCTTTGTCTTAGGAAGCAGGTGCAATAGGGGCGTTACCCACTCTGGGCCAACTTCTCCAGGCTTGGCTCTTGAGAGGGACAGGCTGAGACGGGTTGGACTGTCTGACAAGGTTATTCAGACTATCCAGGCAGCAAGAGCAGGATCCACCACAGCTTGTTACAGGACGAAGTGGTTGGGATTCCAGCGGTGGTGTGAAGAAAGGAGTCTAGAGCTTCTATCCTGTAGGTTGGGCTCTATTCTGTCCTATTTACAGATACTGGTGGACAGGGGGCTTGCTCATTCCACAGTTAAAATGTATGCAGCAGCCATCTCGTCCTGCCATGAGAGATTTGGCGGCAGGTCAGCCTTTACGGCCCGTTCACACAGCGGTGTGCGTTGAAGCTTCCAACGCTTCTGCCCATTCACTTTGAATGGGGTGACGTCACTTTTAGCCGAACTGCATTTTGGGAAGCGACGTGGAGCGTTGCTGGCGTTGCTCGCCTCAAAAGTTGAGCAATGTTCAACTTTTGACGCCTCGACGGAGGCGTCAGCCAATCGAATCCTATGCCAGTACAAGCTCTAGCCAATCAAACCGCGTGCTTGTGTGTCTGGGGCCGGAGATTCATGTGATTGGTTGTTGGTCGAGTGTCAGACACGCCCGCCGGCAAGCGTCAACGCACGCCGCTGTGTGGACGGGCTGTGAGTCAACCGCTTATGGCACGTTTTTTGAAGGGGGTCAGGAGACAATGCCCAGTGGTGCATGTCTCCACCCCGCAATGGGATCTGCCGTTGGTGCTCGAGGCTTTGGTCACAGAACCATTTGAGCCTCTGGAGCTCTCCTCCCTGAAGGCGCTATCATTGAAAATAGCTCTGCTGCTTACCTTGACTTCGGCCAAGAGAGTGTGCGTGCTGACCGCTCTGTCGGTGCACCCGAGTTGCCTTTTGATTCGGGGTGACCGTAGCGGGGCGACACTCAGACCGAACCCCTCCTTTGTTCCCAAGAAATTAAGGAGTTCGTTCAGGTCGAGGGCTATACAGTTAGACGGCTTTTGTCTTCCGCCCCATACTGGGGACAGGGAGGCTAATTTGCACCTCCTCTGCCCAGTTTGTGCGCTGGCATGTTATGTAGGACGAACGGCTTCCATTAGGTGCACTGAACAGCTGTTTGTGTGCTTTGGGGATGGTGTGGCCGGTAAAGCTCTGTCCAAGAAACGCCCGACAGGATGGCTCTGCGAGTGCATATCACATGCCTATGGGCAGGCGGGGAGAGCCTTCCACCTGGGGGTCCGTGGACACTCTACACGTGGTATGGCTGTATCAACAGCCTTGTTCAATGAGTGTGGAGGACATATGCACGGCGGCGTCTTGGTCTACGCCAGGCCCCTTCATAAGGTGTTATCTCTTGGACATGTCTGGCTCCTTTTCATCGTCTGTGCTTGCTGGGGCAACACAGGACTGGTGAAGGGGGAGGGGCTGTGGGTCATTAGGCTGTATCTGACCCCCCCCCCCCCCCCCCCTGGACATTGTGCGCAGTAAGCCCCATACAGGGCTGGAAGTTGGGGTGCGGTGGCTGTTAACCAAAGGCCGGTCAGGGGCAGTGTGGTGGGTCGATGTTGTAGGGCGACAGGGCGTTTATCCATCGGGGCTACACCCGCTGTACCCATAGAGTCCAGTAGAGGGCGGAGCCTGTGTGAGATAGAATGGGGGGTTATGTATTGTAACCCTAGTTCTATAAGCACAGGCAGAGCCCTCTACCTAGGGGCCCTGTCTTTCCTATGCCGCTCGCTGAAGAGGGTGTAGGATGACAGTCAGGAGGTGTAGCTGCCTTATAGAGTGGTAAAGTCCCTCCCCTTCCGTTGGACCTCCATGGGACCTTATTTCGAAAAAAATATGTATTGAAGTCAATGGAGAGAGAAAGATTATCTTTCGATCCCGTTTTAATTGTGCCACGAATTACACATATGATGTTTGTCAATTTAAAAGATACATTTGCCAGTAAAAAAAAAAATTATTTGCCGTAAAACTGTGAAGTAACATATTTGTTTGTGTGAAATGCTCAATTAACTACTTCTCTGATCTCGCAGAACAACACACGTCACCAAGATGGCCGTCACTACTGTCTTGTCAACAAAACGATTGACTACCCTCACTATCACCACAATGAAACACGTCCAGAAGAATGTCATGCAAAGCTGCCTGCCTGCCTTCATTTGATTCTCTCTGAACTGCCTGGTCTTTTTAATGTTTAATGTCAACCATTTGTGCAGATAGCATAAAGTAGAAAAGATCGCCGATGCTAATGTAGCGTTAGCATTTCTCCCCCGGGCTTAAATTGTGTATTATAGAATGATCACACCGGTGACAGTACTCTTCAAAGGGTTCACGAAATATGACTACTACTCTTACTGTTTAACATTTTGGGTTACTTAATGTTATTTCATATTAAGGCTAATAAAAATGACAAGGCTGTAATGCTAACTAACGTGCTAGCTACTAGCTAGGTAGCTAACTTGATCCAGCCACTCCTGGTCCTTTCATCAGACGGGAAGCGAAAGAACGAGCAAGACCCATTGCTGGTATGATAACAACCTGGTACTAAGCACACAGGCATCTTGTTAAAGTTATCTTATCTTAGTCAGCGCCATATAGATAGATTATATCTATATGGCGCTGATCTTAGCTATCTCTTAGTGGAGGAAAACAATTGTGACATCACTTACGCGACTCTGGGATTTGTAGTCTTTCTAGTTGCGTATTTTTCATAGTCTTAAATTTCAACAGTTTTACGACAAACTGTGACTTTTTTGACATGGAAATTATTTTTTAAGATTGACAAACATCATATGTGTAATTCATGGCACAATTCTAACGGGATCGAAAGATACGTTTTCTCTCTCCATTGACTTCAATACATTATTTTTCCGAAATAAGGACCCGTGGACCGGAAGTAGATGGGCGTGACTTCGCCACTCTATATGCGCGCGCATTCAGGTAGGCTCGCCCTGATTGGCCGGCTACGTTTATACAAATTCAGTATGTGAACGCTCGCGTATCATTGATGAGTAGTACCCATAGAATCCAGTAGAGGGCTCCGCCGGTGCTTATAGAACTAGGGTTACAATACGTAACCCCCCATTATTTTCACTTCTGGAAAGCATTTAGTTAAGGAAAATGTTATAGAGTTTATTATTATATATTATATACTGCTTCCCCGGCCCAATACAGTGATTTCAAACTGCTCCTTATACTTTAATGGGTTACATGCATGTGTTCAGTTCTGTTTACATATGTTTCAAACTGTTTAAAGTTGATTTCATCCTATTCCTGCAGTTTAGAATGTATTCTATTCATTGTATTCAAGACTGTGTCCTAAATCTTTTCATACATAACCACGTAGTTTAAAGGTCAGTCAGGTCACACAGGTTTATATAAAGTACGCACACTAACTGTTTCCTGTTGTCTCCCTCTCTGTCTGTGTCTTTGTCTCGCTGTCTGTCTCTCCAGGCTGGAAGTTAAATCCAGTGGTCAGCGCTGTCTACAGCCCAGAATTCTATGCAGGTAGGAGGACATGCCCTTCTCCATCTGTCACCATCTCCTTTGTCGTTATCTTCCTCCTCCTCATTCATTTTGTTCTGCAGTTACTTCGACAACTTAATTTTCTCCCTCACCTGCTTCATTTCAAACTGCGTCACCTCTCCTTCCTCTGCCTTCCATGCAAACAACATGCAACCGTCAAAGACTTTCCTGTGCTACAAAACAAACGCACATTCTGCAACCCACCCACAAGCCTTTTCCAATCTTGGCCGTACACCTCCCCCAACCCTTCAACACCACCCCCCCCACCCCCATCCTGTCATTAACCATTAATCATTAAGGTGAAAAATACCTGGGCTCTGTGATAAGAGAAGAGAGAGCGATAAAAGAGTGTGTGTGCAGAGGAGTGGAAGAGTGAAGCAAAGGACACGAGTGAAGGAAATCTAATTGTCTGTTTCTGCAAGGACATTAAAAGGTAGGGATGGGTACCGAGCCCCGGTATTAAACGGGCCCCGGGGCTGAATTATTAAAGACCGTGGTACCGTTAAGCTCCAACGTTAGCGGTCTTTTTATCGGTACTGGAGACATGTAAAAATATCTCATGTGTATTATTGCTACATAAAGATTATATTGCAGTTTTAGTGTCGCCAACTCCGTTTCTAACATTCAAAAAGACTGCAAAAATGCATCTATGTATATAAAAAGCAATGTTAGTTTTTGTTTAGTTAGTTTACCTTTTTTTTCTCCAAAAGAACCGATAAGAGTACTGTTAAAAGACCGGACCGATAAGCGGTATCGATAAAAGTAGTAGTACCGTTAAAACCTTAACACTAGAACCGCCAACGGGTACATTTTACCCGCAGCTGTTTTTTGATTGTATGTAACTTGTTTTCAATAACATATTAAAGTCTCCCAGTTCGTGACTTTTCCTGAAAGTGTGTTATGTAGCACCCTCTGTTGTTAACAATTGTCAATATGAAGTAAGATTGAAAAAAATCGCCAAAAAAAATGCCATTTATACCCATATCCGCCAGCGGGTAATATTTACCTCATAGAAAATGCAGCGTAAACATGACGTGTTGCTAAAGCAACACCTTTTGTCTACTGCGGTTCCTTATAGATAGATAGATAGATAGATAGATGGAGAGATAGATAGAGAGAGATAGAGAGAGAGAGAGAGATAGAGAGAGAGAGAGAGAGAGAGAGAGAGAGAGAGAGAGAGAGAGAATATATCTAGCTCTGAGACGATAGATATTACTCGTATAGTATATAGAGAATCTGATTATGCGATTCCAGCCTTCTTCCTCTCAATTCCTCTCTCTCTCGTCCTCTCTCATTCTTCGCTCCTATATATCCTCTCCCTATTATCAGAGACTGCTCTATTGCATTGTGCAGGTTACGTGCCAGTTGAATAAAGATGGACACTCGGAATGAGAGAAGTAGTCCGCGTCATCTGTTTATGTAGACAATTATATGTCCATAGAACAGAACATTACAGATGGATTGATAGATAGTTAAATAGCGTTTAAATCAGCACTCTTAGCGATATTTTATACTTCATGTTATCTGCACAAACTATGTCATATGAAAAGCTGAGAGTCCACAGATTATATTGGTATAAGTTTCATCCCTGTGCGATCAAAACTCACTGTTCTGTATGATAAATAAAAGAACATTGTACCTTGAAAATCAAGAGCGGGTACATTTTACCCGTTGGCGGTTTTAGGTATACAGCGACCTCTGGCGGTTCTAGTGTTAACGATACCCATCCCTATTAAAAGGTGTGAAATATATTTTGTAAATCAATATTTTCTATTTCTCCAGACAGTCGTTTGCCTAATTCACCCCCATGTTCTTTTAATTACAAAATGGCTTTGTATTGATCTACCTTTGTTTCACCTTTCCAGTTCCCAAAATGCCATTGGGACGTGTGTGTGTGTGTGTGTGTGTGTGTGTGTGTTGTGTGTGTGTGTGTGGAATGTGGTGTGTTGTTGTGTGTTGTTGTGTGTGTTTGTAGTAGTGTGTGTGTAGTGGGTTGTGTGTGTTTGTGTGTGTTCATGTGTGCTGTGTGTGTGGTGTGTGTGTGTGTAGTGTTGGTGTGTCGTGGTGTGTGGGTGTGTGTGTGTGTGTGGTGTGTGGTGTGTGTGTGTGTGGTGTTATGTGTGTGTGTGTGTGTGTGTGTGTGTGTGGTGTGGTGTGTGTGTGGTGTGTGTGTGTGGTGTGGTGTGTGTTTCAGCAGGCTCCTTCAGTATTTTTAGTGTAGCTGCTGTTATTAACAGGATATGATGTCAGCGGTTCAGGACCCGTTCTTCTGGTTAATTGGTTCAGATGTTTGATAGCAGAGCAGATTATCATAGCATATAACATACAGCAGTGTTTAACACTCAGTAAACTACAACAGGAAATGTCTCGTCAATTGTGAAATTAATGAAGAGCCTAATCCTTAAATGGACAGAGAAATATCAAATATCACAGAAAATTGTTTTGGTGAATCAGTTGATTGCTACTTTCTATATTGCTTCCATATTCCGTATGTTGTAAGGGAATATTTGTATGTAGCATTATGTAATACAATGTTGTAAACTAATTTTAGTATTGTTCCTAATATTAAAGTAAAATATTGCGTGTAAAAAGTTTATTTAAAAAAAAAAATGGGTAAGCGCGGGCCCTCCTTCCAGGTGACATACAGAGAAGCTCCCCACGGCATCCAGGAACTAAGAGAGGGGGGGTCATCAGAGTGACTTTAAGGGGAGCCAGGCCACTCGGCCCTGAAGTCAAGGTGACAAAAGATGAATTGGAACAATTACCAGCCTCTCTCCTCTCCTGGTCTCTCTTTGAGAAACTCTTATCCTTTGGCTCAAACCTTCCATGTTCCATCAGGTCAATGAATGATTCACTGTTTCTATTAGCATTTTCTTAGATCTCTTTTTTGAAGATATGTATAATTAGGCTTGGCTATGGCACCTCCATCTCCTTCTCCACCTTCACTCACCCCAGTTGTCAAATGAAGCTTTGTGTCAGTCATCCCCAATTAAGATGAATGATAAGCTAATAACCAAACCACAGCAAATCTCCACTCTCTCTTTATGAGAGTCTTTCTGCTCACATTCTGTTTCTACAACTGCAAACAGCAGAACACCTTCTTTACATAATCCAAATGTTAATGTCAAATACAGGTGAACAGCCTTTTTACATTAGATTATATCAGATTCAACTTTAATGTCATTGCAGTACAAGTACTAAGAAAACAAAATGCAGTTAGCATCTAACCAGAAGTGCAAAAGGAGCAGTAAAGTGCAATGTAATGTCCAGTATAATATAAATATACATCTGAGAGATATAATTGAACAGTTTATAGTGGTATATAAATAATAAATAGCAGGATAGAAATGGAATACACTATAGCAGGTAGACAGTATACTATATAGACAGACACTGTAGGCAGAATAAATAAAGTTGAATTCCTCGTACGTGTCATTTAGGATAAGATGTACATTTATTGAGCACTGTGGGAAATCCAAATGTTATAGCAGCAACAGAATAAGAGAGAAACACATGAGAATATACACAGGGATGATAAGAATAAGAAAAAGGAACAACATGAATACAATGAAATAAGAATAAACATGTTGTTACAGTATGAATAGAAAGACTGACCAACAGGATTAGCCTCAGTGTTGTGCATCGCTCCAAAGTGTTGCTCACAGTTCAAAGTATTATAACTTTGACCTGGATTGCCACTGACCTTTGACACGCAGATATCTGCTGGATGAACATTACAAGCAGAGTTTGTAACCATATAAATAAACTGTCTGTTTTCATTGCGTATCATGTGAATGTCACTACTGTTTGCATCTCACATATTCATCTATTATTACAATAACACGTCTTTTATTTCACTGTTCAGCATTACATTTTACGGCCTTTTTTAGCTCATCTTATTCTATTTCATTTGCATATAGTTCAATTCTACTGCAGTTTCTTTTTGCGCTATTTAAAAAAAATTTGTAATAGTTGAATGTCTTATACATACAATATATTTACGTTGCATTGTTGGAGGAGCCTGTGAATTAAGTTTGTATTTGCATATCTACACTGTAGCTGCACATGACAATAAAAGCCCCTTGGAACTTTGAGCTTTTAGCAGGAACGTTGTCGTGTGTTGGGGTCTTGGTGACCTCAGGGTCCGTGTTCATTCTGTCCTCTGCCTCCAGTACCAGGTTTCCCCTACCCAGCAGCCAGTGCAGCAGCAGCAGCGTACAGAGGAGCCCACCTAAGAGGTAGAGGACGGACGGTGTACAACACATTCAGGGCGGCTGCTCCCCCCCCCCCAAATCCCTGCGTACGGAGGGTGAGCATTGCTTCCTGCTCCTGTTGTCATGTTCTCCTTTTGGCTTTCTCCCTCTGTCCGTTCTTTATCCAATGGCAGAGTCAGCGGTGCGATGCATGTCTGCCGTGCCACACAGCGATAACCCCCCCCCCCCATTCCAACAGCATGCTGAAGCAACCAACAGGCACGGACTCATGGGAAATGATTCGGCCTCGTATTCTGGTGTCATTGGAAGAGGCTGTGTTCATGTAGGGTGGTCCTCTACTTTGGGACCACTTTTCCAGTTTAGTCTATTGCCAGCATAGTGAACCCTGAAATGTTGAGTACACCAAAGCTTTATGTTAGAAATGTATAGAACGGGTCCCCAGCACATAGAAACTGCCGGATGCTAACTTACATATGTTGGGCAATTTGCACAATTAGCATAAGCTGCGTTATTAAAATGAATGGCATTATAGATATGTAAAAAAAAGTAAAACGATGACATGTCCGATTTGGACAATTTTGGAATGGTCTTGGATGTTATTGAGGAGGCTGAATCCATTTCTGACCTTTTCAGGAAGTAAAATTGCAGTTTAAACTGGAAAGTGGCCATATTTTGATTTCCATGAGCAATGTCATTGGATATAGAGAGCACAAGATGAAGATTATTATCTCTACTGTGGACAAGTATTTTTGTAATTTAGGGGAGCAAATGATCCGGTCCCCTAAATCTTACAAATCCACCCAAAATATATCAAGTACAAATATTTCTAGTTAAAACAGAAATGTATGATACTGAAAATGTCAGAAATGGACTCCCCATAGGCTTTAATGGTAATTCATGCTAATTAGTGCAATTGTTGCTAATTGTGCAAACAAATGTGAGTTAGCAGTTTCTATGTGCTGGGGACACGTACTATATATTTCTAACATAACACTTTGGGGTCCTCAACATTTCCGGGTTCTCGGTAGGACTCTGGAAACTATCTAAACTATTACCCAGTGCCACAAAATAAATAAAAGCATCTTCCTATCCCCGCAGCAGCTCTGGCCGACCCTCCATGGCTGAACGCCCTGGAGACGAGCCAAGCAGAGCAGTGCATTGTGGGCAGTCAGATCTGATTTGCCATTATTCTGTTTTTTTATTTATTTTGCTCTTTATGACTGCAAGCAAATGGACACTAAGGAGGCTGGCTGGGAATCTATTCAGGAATGGAAGCAGATTTTTGTTCTGCTCACAATAGGAAGCTTTATTTTTGAATGCAGTGATTTCCAGAATGTGGCAAAAGAAAGTGTGATTTATTGTGTTTTTATTTTCTACTGTGATGTGAATATTAGGAGTTGGTTCATGGTGATAAACAGCAGGAGAAAACATATCAAGATAACATAAACTGACTTTGTGAATATAACAAACTTAAAACAGCTCCAGTCATCAGCTTGTTTCCTCTGCACTATCACACAACATTTGAATGATACTCACAGGGAAAACATGTGCTTTTATTGCCTCGGCCTAACAACACAATTCATAATGCTTTGTGTTTCTGCTGGTGCCAAACACCACTGATATGAATTGTATTCATATGAAGTTGACTTTTAACATACATAGTCTTTCCACCTTCTCTTTCATCGTCAAGCGTAAAGATGGTTTTGACAATATAATATTTTCTGCATGCAAATTTAAAATGTACCTTCACAAAGAGGAATGGAAACATACATTGCTTGTGACTGAGGATAACACAGGAATTGGCAACACATGTAAATTACAAGCATCCTTGTCAATAGCTGACTTTAATTAAACAAAAATATATATGTTATTCATTTTAAAATGAATACTTTTTTCCTTTTACACCCTTTATTTTGTCATTCTAAGAAAATATATATTTTCTTTGTCACATTACATTTAAAAAAAAATGTTGTCCTAATAAATTAAATGTTAGTATATAGTTAACGCGTTAATAACGCCACTAATTAGTCTCCTGCTTTGACTGTTATGAAGACAGAGGAGCGGCATTTTGCCGACAACTGTAAACAGGCTTGTCTGCTTGAGCAACTGGCTCAGTGCAGAGAGAGAGAGAGAGAGAGAGAGAGAGAGAGAGAGTTCCAATGATAATAAACAAACATTAGCATAAAGCATATTTGTCCACTCATATGTTGATAAGAGTGTTAAAAACTTGAAAAATATTCCTCTAAGGTACATTTAGAACAGATCAAAAATGTGCGATTAATCGCGATTAAATATGTTAATCGACTGACAGCCCTAGTATATATAGTATAATAGTGGCCAACACAAACAGAGATAAACAAATACATAAAATTAAGAATGTATATTATGGGTTTTTTCCCATTCCTTTCAGTGAAGGGAGGGATTATATCATGTATATCATATTTTAAAATCCCTGATTGTGAAAAACAATACAAGTGAGTGGGACACACTGAGATTACTAGTAATTAATCCTAATATTTAAAACAAATAGTGAGTGCTCAGTATGAAATGTGGATATATACACTGTACTGAGTGAATCATTAACAACTAAAGCCTTTTAGTGAAATATGAATTTATAGAAATTAGAATTATGTCTTCTATGTGAGCCTGCAGCAAATGAACACCTGCTTTTCAATTCAAGGCTATTTGAAAAAAGTTGATATATTATTTAGTAGTCTAGAAATGGAAATCACCCCAGACCTAACACCCTCCATCCAACACAGATACATTCAAACAGATGGGCTGGTGCTTCTGAAACAAAGCTTTGTGTTGAAGGAAGAAGAGCATGTTCTCCGTCACACAGGATGAGGTGTTGGGTGAACGCATGGTCTCCATAAAGAGATATGTGCTACAGATTGCACTTTCATTAGCATCGCTGCACACCTTAATTACCACGGTGGCAGCCGGCGGTGAATTATTAATGTGGACCATGATATTTTTTTATTAAACTGTCTCGAGTGGCACAGCTAAGAAACCGTGTGTGTGTGTGTGTGTGTGTGTGTGTGTGTGTGTGTGTGTGTGTGTGTAAAGTGTTCCTTGGTGTCTATAGGGGGCCTCACATGACAACCTATAGCAGCAACAAGCCAATATGTGCTGTAGCTGCTGCAGTCCCACATAAAACATTTTAATGAGGAAGCGGCTCGGTGGGACACCTTGACATTTGAGAAGTTATTGATTATGAATGAAAGCAGTCTATTGGCTGCTGGAATTGGAAGTTTGTTCCTCTGAGGAGCTCTTCTTGTTAAACACAGATCCATCACGGTGCAGGGCTGACAGCAGCTTGTGTTAATGGAGGCTACACACACACACACACACACACACACACACACACACACACACACACACACACACACACACACACACACACACACACACATCCATATCATGAAACAAGTGATCCCACTGCATATTAGGACACACGGATGAAGAAACACACACAGTAATGAAATGATGTTTAGATTTCTTCAACCTCAAGGGGAGGTCCCATTGATATGTGTTCTTGTTGTTATAATGACTATACAAATGAAGGTCAGTTAAGTATCCATCGTTATGAGACTTGGTCTGCATGGTGAGTGTGATGCTGTGTCTCTTACACTTGCTATTTTAAGCTCTGGCGACCAGGTGCCAACAGCATGTGGGACAAAGAGTACTTTATTGCGGGACAATGCGGGACATAGAAGAGGTAGATTTAAATATAATGTCTATCCCTCTCTTAAAAATAAACATTTTCTATTTAAACTATTAGCTTGAAATGTTACTAACAATGCTTTACTATGGGTTAATTATTTGCACAAACTATGCAAGTGAAGTCATTCAAAATGGAGTTTGAATGGAGTTTTTTTCAAACAAACTATTGTCCGTAAAAATGTCCACACAGCTAATGGTGATAGCCCTCTCTTGTTTTCTAAACAGCCTTGAATAAAAGTCAAGTTATAGACGGGCGACTGTCAATTCAATGCGGGACATCGGCTAAATGTGTGGCACAAATGATTAAAATCCTGTGCAGTCCCACACAAAGCGGGAAAACTGGTCACCCTATTTTAAGCACATAATTGCATCCAAATGTAGAGTATTGCACTATGAGAACTTGGATGACCCTGACATTAAACTTCTCACACTTAACAATCTCCATCTTGGCTATGTAGCCGCTCTGCTGAGGGCACAGCAGCTGTGTGTGATTTAAGACGACTCTACATAGTCCAAATTTAACCTGTGAAGCCCCATAGCCCCCGCCGGCAAGGCCTACAGGCTTTTTTTTCACGAAACTGTGTCTCAGGGCTTCTTAACATTTAATAGACTATGAATGTTTCATACTCATTTAACGGGAAGAAACCCAGCTAACCGATAATATGAACAATTTTTACCGAAACAAAACACAAGTCTCACAAGAAGCGTCTAAATTAGACATGAGCGAAAAAAATATACCGCACTTAGCACAGAACTCAAGGTATAAATACTTTATTACTGCACAAACAAGATATATATAGAAAGCTGAGATTCCACAGATTCTAGAGGTGTTAGTATCATCACTGTGCGACATGGGAAGCAAACACAGACATCACACCACGTAGCATTAGGTAGCAGAAACGGAGATATTCTTACCTTTTGCTTTTGTTCTGATCAAAAGTCGTGTTCAATGGCAATAAAACGATAAAAACGCGGCTGAAGGTTAATCCATAGGTTAATCCAATGTGTCTGTGTCACTTTGAAAAAATTAGTGATAATCCATCATTCAATTTTTATGTCAAAAACTGAGTTTTCATATTAGCTGCTATGATAGCTACCAGAGTGTATGGCAGCTTCCTGTTTTGGGTATTCTGGCTACGCATCACTCTCACTCCTTATTTGGTAACGTGTAGTTGGATTTAGGAACTTCCCCTCGATTATATTGGCTCTAACGGTTCAAAAGAGATGTCAATCATCAAAATCGACCAAGGGGGGCCAGAGATATGGAAAATCCACTCAAATGACCCCAGAAGTGTTTTTTTGTTGCTAAATCTGTCTAAAAATATCACTTGTTTTGCATCAATCTTGATACAGGGTATTTATTATATGTTATAGTTTGGATTCCTAAAGCTTTTAGTCTACCTTACCATCATCCAAGGGTGTTTTTTTTTTTTTGGACGGACACTATAATTAAATTTTTTACTATTTTTTTTTCTATTTTCAATCTGAATTTACTTTAAAATAAAAACATCTATATTGATTCTGACTCTTCTACATCCAACTCACAGGTTTATCATTGCTTTGAGAAAAAATAATATTAATGTAACCCTTTTAGAAGGGAAGATATGGTCATTTGTTCTGGGAATGTCATTTTCGAGCCTGAGACCTGAAAAACAGGCTCAGGGCTTAAAGCACTGCGAGTTTTCACAGTGTGAGACACTGTGCTGGAGAAGTGTCCACGTGTACACACAGCATAGGAACGTGTAGGGTCTGAAGGAAGATCGTAATGCCTCAATTTGCTGTTTTTATCTGGAGTTTGAACTTTTTTAGAAACTGAGAGTGAGGGCACTATGGCCTTTAATGGTTCATAAAAAAAAGAGTGTAAAATCTTGCATTTGGAATAAATATATAACCCTAAATACTTTTTTAACAACACATGTTTTCCCTTTTTGTGGCTTCTTTAAGGTCAATATGTATAATAAATCTTCAGATACACAACTCTAAATCTGATGCATGCTGATTGGACTCCATGTATGATATATCCGTGAATAAGACCTTCAGGATGATGTTGTCCCCCCCAGCCTCCTTACCCAGCCATCAGAGGCTGCCTGATGTATTCCCTTTAACCTCTGTACTGTTTTTGGTTTGATTACTTTGGATTGTGGAGATTTGGGTTGTCTGAAAGCTAGCCCAGTCCCTGCATGTCAACATGCACTAATATGGATGTTTTTGTTTTATTGTGTGTTTGTTTGTGTTTGCATCCTCTGCAGTGTTGTTTACCAGGATGGATTTTATGGTGCAGATATTTATGTAAGTATTATTTATTGGTATGACATTGCATGCTACACCGCCATCTCTGTGGTTTCTGCCCTGTTGCTACGCACATGCAAAATAATACAAACAAATACAAAAAAACACTGCAGAATATTCAGAGAGATTAATATTTATTTATTTATTTTACTACTGCAAAAACACACAATGCAACAGAGTGGTGCAGTGATAACATATTCAGAATGATCCAGAAGTGAAAATCACAAGGGCTCACTCAGCTGAACGCAATAGGGTTCCTCAATCAGACTTTGGAATTGTGCAGACTGAGGTTCTGTCCAGCAGGATTATCTCCACATGTTAACAGCACTTATTGATTTTCAAAATCGAAACGAATCAGGTAAAAAGCTAATGTTAGACAAATAAGCTAAAGGCAGCTAATGTTGGGAGCGATGATGTTATATCTCTCACAGGCTCCGCCCTCTACTGGACTCTATGGGTACTACCTTACCCTGCGAGCATTCTCCCACTGAGACTTCTATAGACGTAGCCGGCCTTGGGCGGGCCTACCTGAATGCCCGCGCATCACACCGTATAAAAGGAGGCCTCACCTCCTGACTATTATCCTTTTCTCTTCAGCAGCGGAGGTGATTCCACGAAAGACTGAGAGACGTTTAAAAAGAGTTATCATACCTCCAGGGAGCAGTGTTGGGAGTAACGCCGTTATTTTTGGCAGTAACTAGTACTCTAACGCATTACTTTTTAAATTCAGTAACTCAGTTACCATTACTACATGGTGCGTTACTCCGTTACTGCGTTTTTTTATATAGTCAACAGCCAGGCGAACAGAGATGAGAACTATACTTAAGTACTTGAGTAAATGTACTTAGATACTTCCTGTGTCACATGCGGAGACGGGCTGTGGGCGTGTTTGTGTTGTTTACTAACAAGACTATCATGGCGGCGGCGGAGCTCAAGTCTAGTTTCTCCACCTGGAGATATTCTCACTATTTCACTTTTGTCGAGCACAAAGAAAAGAACGTTTTAGTTCAATGTAAGTTGTGTCTTGGCGGGTCAAAGATCCTATCTACTGCCCAAACCAGTAATTCAAATCTCTTAAAACATCTGCAAAAACAACATGCTGGGACGAAGCTAGTAGCTAAGACCACAGAGACTCAGCCGACGCCACTCCACCTCCACCTAAGCAACAGCGGCTGAATTTTAACCAAGGGACTGCTGGCCAGGGAAAAGTCGATAAAGCCATTGCACGGTATGTTGTAGAACACATGCAGGCTATTGCTACAGTGGAGTCACCCGCTTTCAGGGAGCTAGTTAGCATGATAGCATGTCCGGGCGGCACACGGCATATGGGACGGAAAACTTTTTCCAACTACCTGGAGAAAGAATATACAAAAATGGAAAGCCAGCTAATATCGATGCAATCCAGATTGCATATAATGCATGTCAAGTTGATCAACAGATTGTATTATTCTCCAATGCAATAACAGTATTGAAATGAAGGCTATGAGGGCATTAATGGGAGCCATTTTTTCAAGTAACGAAAACGTTACTTTTCATAGTAACGCATTACTTTTGGGTGTAAGTAACTTGTAAAGTAACTGAGTTACTTTTGAAATGAAGTAACTAGTAATGGTAACTAGTTACTGGTTTTCAGTAACTAGCACAACACTGCCAGGGAGTCGCCACTGCTAGATTCGAGTGTTTGGGGGACCAGGATATGGCCGAGGCGGTGCCATTCACATTCGCCATTCCTTCCGGGTCTGGCGTCCATGGAAGGTATAATAGCTCCGATTAATGCATTTCACCGTTGCAATGGGAAATACAGCATTAATATGTGGGCGCGCGGCCCTCGTGAGAGTGGCCGCGGTGCGTTCAGGGACCCCCGCAGGAGAACGGTGGTTTACGTTTGTAAACTCTAGTTCTGGAGTGAGTTATGTGTGTGGGAAAAATGCATTCAGTAAAGACTATTGCATTTATCCCAGAGTAAGAGTCATTTCTCTCCACAATTCCACTTTTCCCCATAATGTCCGTTTCAAAGAGACGGCATTGTGACGGCGCGCGCGGCCCCCCTCCCCCGAGGGCGGGCCACGGTGCGTTCAAAGACCTCAGTAGAGAGGTGAGATGAAGGGAGAGGTGCCGACACGGAGATCCCGTGCCCGCGGCGCCCTCCACCTCTTCGGCCCACCCCGTGGAACCGGCGTGCCGGCACTCACGGGTACCGGCTTTCCGTCTTTACGGATCGGACTGGCGGGGGGAGAAAATCTCTCCGCCCGGGACGAGGGGGCGAATCCCACCTCCTCCCTGTATAATGCACAGATCACTACGTTTTCTAATAAAAATGAGGTTGATCTGTATCCAAATATAAGTGTCTTTTGTTTCCACAAAGGCTACACTTACACACAATGTTAACCGTACAAATTCCCCATTCACTGCTCCATGCTGCAGCTCCTGTAAAGGAGGTGGCTAGTGGGCATGCGCAGATGAGAGGGATGAACCGCAGGGAGTGCTATCTAAGGGAGAGCACTATGCGGGTACAGGGACATTATGGCCGGCGTATTGCTGTCAGAGAACACACTACGCCTAGAGCAAAGACTCCAATGCAGTTTACCGTAGTGGTAAAGGCTGCATTATGGCAGAGCCCGCACTCACACAAGAGCGCGTGGCGGTGCGTTCAGGGACCTTAGTAAAACACACTACGCCTATAAAGACTCCGATGAATGCTGTTTACCGTAGTGGTGAGCACAGCATTAGGGTGGAGTGCGCGCTCACACAAGAGCGCGCGGCGGTGCGTTCAGGGTCCTCAGTAAATAATCGGCCCTTTCTGTGTCAACCCTCCATGGGCAAATCTTCCCTTCGCGGGGAGTTTTTGCGGCGGAACGGGTCACCAGAGAGTATCACAGCTTCATAGCTGCTGCCCCACACCTGAGTGCTTGTCCATTAACACAATGTTCTGGGAAATGGAAACTCAGCTGTGTGCTTACAAGGTGGAGGGACAGGACGCTGAAACGGGGCCATTCACTCCAGTTTTGCAGCGTCCCACTGTACCACATGTCTATACACTGTACCAATGTATCACATGGACCACTGTCTTGTGGGTGTCCCACACTTACCTCTTTTTATGGGCATGCGAGAGGTAAATCTGTCCTCCCAGGAGGAGATGTGTTTCCTCTCAGCAGGGATTCAGGCTCTGGTGCAGAAACAGGCTGTGTCTGTTGTGCATCCTCAGCACAGAGAAAATGATCTTTATTCCATGTACTTCCTGGTTCTCAGGAGGACAGGGGAATTTAGACCTATTCTAGATCTCAGCGGCCTGAATCGCCACATTTCCTGCAGGAAATTCCGCAGGTTAACTATGAAATAGTTACTGGGGCTTGTGCAGCCAGGCGATTGGTTCACCACCATCGACCTGAAAGACGCGTACTTTCATGTAGAAATTGCTCCAGAGCACAGAAAGTATCTGCGTTTTGCCTTCCAGGGAATAGCCTACGAGTACAACAGGCTGCCGTTCAGCTATTCCCTATCCCAACGCACATTCAGCAAATGTGTGGCCACAGCGCTTCAACCGCTGCGCGCGCCGCACACGGCATGAGAGTTTTATTTTACATAGACGACCTCATAGTCATGGCTGGGTCACGGGAACAGGCAATGTTTTGCACAGCACAATTGATCACACACCTGACCAAATTGGGCTTTGCGATCAATTGGAAAAAGAGCACCCCCATACCTCACCAACGGGCGCTGTATTTGGGTGTGGTGCTCGATGCAGGCGCGTCGCTCGCCACCCTGTCAGAGAGCAGACGTGCGTCCCTTCTTCAGGGGGTGCGCAGGCTGCGACAGGGGGCAACAGTGACAGCTTTTACTTTCATGCAGACATTGGGTCTCATGGCGGCTGCTCACATGGTGGTCCCGTTAGGGTTACTACATATGCGCCGCCTGCAGAGGTGGTTCTCCAGCCTGCGCTTGGATCCCAAGAGGCACAGGCGGCGGCTGGTGACCATCCCCCCATCAGTGGAGGGCAACCTCCGGTTTTGGGGTTCTCCGGATCACCTCCGGAGGGGGTCTCCACTGGGACGGGTGACCTCCTACATCACAGTGTTCACGGATGCATCCAGAACAGGATGGGGAGGGACCTGCCTGAAGAGCGCTATAGGTGGGCGCTGGGCACTAACAGAGTCTCGACACAGCAACCTCCTAGAGCTACGGGCGGTAGTATTAGTCCTCCAGCATTTCAGGCCCCTAATTCAAGGGAGGCATGTAATGGTCAGGAGCGACAACAGCACCACAGTGGCTTACATCAACAGGCAGGGCGGAGTTCGATCTGCCGCCTTGTTGACCACAGCAGAGGAACTGTGGGTATGGGCTTCAGAGGTGGTGTTATCTCTGAGAGCCCTCCATATCCCGGGACTGGAGAACAGAGGGGCCGACCTCATGTCGAGGAGCGGCCCCCTGCCATGCGAGTGGGTGCTTCACCCGAGGGTGGTGAAGCAAATCTGGGCCCAGTTCGGGAGAGGGAAGTGGATCTGTTCACCAGCCGGCGAAACAGCCACTGTGCCCTGTGGTTCTCCGTGGCTCGGAGCGATGACCCACCCTTGGGGGTGGACGCGTTTGCACACGAGCCATGGCCAAGGAAGCTGCTATACGCCTTTCCACCGCTGCGTCTCATTCTCCCCCTCCTGGGGAGAGTGACGCGAGAACGTCTGTCAGTCATCCTAGTGGCTCCGGATCGCGTTGGGGCGCCGTGGTACTCAGAGATGACACAGATGAAGGTGGGCCAGCCCTGGACGGTTCCCCAGTTCTGGGGGGCGATGTCTCAAGAGGCAGGTGCAATCGGGGCGTTACCCACTCTCGGCCGTCCTCTCCAGGTTTGGCTCCTGAGAGGGACAGGCTGAGACAGGGTGGATTGTCTGATAGTGTTATTCAGTCTATCCAGGCAGCTAGAGCTGGATCCACCACAGCCTGTTACAGGCCAAAGTGGCTAGGATTCCAGCGATGGTGTGAGGAGCAGAGAATAGAGCCCCTAT